ACAATTGAAATGGAAAGACTCAACGCAGAAAAGCCAATTTCAAGATGTCTGCCATAGAGCTGGTGAGAGCCTAAGGCCTCATCTAAGGCAGCAGGAATAGAAGGGGTGGATCCAAGACTTTTGAGTCAAACCTGGCAAGTGAGTAGATAAAAGCTTTATTTGGAGGCTATATTGGTAGGTAAACAAGAAAGAATAAAGAGAAAATGACTTTGATTTTGAGTCTGGGTTCCTAAGGTGGTAAAGGGTAATGGAGGAACTCCTTGACTAAAACTAAGGCCAAGACAGAAGAATAGCTGACAAACTGAGTTCAGGTTTGTACGATTTAAGTTTCAGACACCTCCTTTGAGTTCCCAGCACTCCCCGCATATTCCTATAATTGGAATCTGTTTTGTCTCTCTCCTTCATCACATTGTAAACTCTTTTCTCTTTTACAGCTGAGATTGAATTATCCATCCTTGTAAGCCCAGTGTCTAAGCACAGGTCCTGATACCAGGTCCACAGGGCCCGCTCAGCCACACTACAAAACCTCCTCCTGTTAGGTGCATTCACCAAGAGAGGATCTCTGGTTTTCCTAGGAGATGACTCCTGAGTTCTAGGTGATGTCAAGTCTAGAGTACACATTTTCAAATTTTCAAGGATGGATGATACATGAGCTCCATACATGGTGTCCATCCCACATACACACTCTCATTCTCGTGCCTGCTTTTCAGCTTCGGAGTTAGTGGCAAAGACTAACTTTATAATTTTATTTATTTATACTCCATTTTCAAGAACTAACTTAAAGTAAGTGGTAGCAATACCTAAAATATAGTAAGATAAGCAATTCAAAGTAGACAAGAAAGACAAAAGCAAATGAGTATATAGGGACCAAAAATATGGATAGAGTAATAAGAGTTTCTCAAAAAAATACATGCCATGAAGATCCATATACTTACTGTAGGTGGGCCAAAAGAGTCAGCACTAAGCTTTCTGGCTTTTATGTACACGGAGAAACTTGATCAGCTAGACAAGCTTAAAGATAAAAGCAAGGCAACTGTTCAGGAGAAGCACACCACTTCTCATGCTAACAGACAAATTCCTCCCAAGGGTCCTCATAAAGAGGATATAATGAACATCTTTTCAGTAGTCACAGCAATGAGTTTTGTGGGATTGTTTCTCATTGTTCCCTCGACAGAGAATGATAGCATCTCACCAAAGCACATTTCCGTGAAGACAGTACTACACTGGGATCGATATGCTACATTCAGGTAAAAGAAAAAAAATCTACGTAAAAGTAAACAAGAACTTCCAGGTGTAGATTTTAGAATAAACTAATGATTTGAAACCTTGCACACTGCACAGTAGTATCACTGGGAAATTGTTTTAAAGTTACTGATGCCTGAGCCGCCTCCTGGGCTAATGACATCCAGATCTCCTGGGGATGGGGCCTCCGTTTTTTAAATGCTACCCAGTCCAGATAACTCTAAGGCTTCACCAGAGGAGCTTTTACCATATCTGGATGCTCTGGGTCAATTAAATCAGAATCCCTGGGAGACAGACGTAGGCATCAGTATTTTCTAAAGCTCCCCAGTTGAGTCCAAGGTCCCACCAAGGTTAAGAACCACCACTGCACAGGAATGAATGGATTGATTGGCACATCCTTTGTGTAATGCTTCCTGAAAACTGCTGCTCTTAGATGAGTTTTGAATAAGTATTAATCAACACTGATATTGACATTATCCTTCCGAGCTCATATACACTATCAAATAAATATGGACCCAAATGTCTTCATGAACAGTGGAGCTGGAATGGGTTGGACTTTATTTTATAAAAACTGAGGAATCTTCCTGGGTTGGGGGCTATTTTGCCATCATATAGAGAGGCGCTGAGGGAAATCCAAAAGTAGGGCCAAATTTATCTTTTGAAAGTGTACCTGGATCTAATCTAACAACCAGAAGAAATGGACAATCAAGTTCCAGAGTTTTATCTCCAGAGCACAGATACAACTTTTAGGAAGATAGGTTAATTCATCAGCCATTCAAGCCATAAGAAAACAACTCAGTAAAACAACTAGTTTTAAACAATGATATTTTCTGAGGATTTGTGTGATAACTGAATGGATTGACTTGTCACATAAGTTTATCTATAAACTAGTCAGAAGTCTGGAAATATCTACCAAAGGCAATTTTAGTTTTAGAATGTTGTCAAAGTCCTTTCTGACTATAATTAATAGCAGAGCCACAAAGATTAGAAAATCCCGATAACAACCTCTATTAAATTGGAGCTTGAAAAACAAAAAAACCTGAGAGAGAATATCCAGAAACAAGTTACAGGAGGCTGATGATACTTGCTCATAGCCTAAGTTGGACAAGAGTTGGTTCTACCCCTCGCTTTTATGCGCAAGACTTTATACAAGATAACCAAAGACGTTCAGTGCATCTGCCTAAAGTCTAGAGAATGTAAGCAGGCAAAAGAGGTAATGTGCCTTATCTAATTGCAAAATAACACCGAGGACTCAGATTCTCTATATTTTGTGGCTACAAAGACAGAAATTGAATGAAGCCGGCAGTCTACCTGAGCTACAACTGCCGCTTCCAGCATAAAGGCAGAAGATACCCATCACACATCCACTGGCTCAGGAGAAAGCCCTAAAAGAATCTAAATCTTTTTCTGGGTCCTTTAGGGAGCACATATACTGTCTGTAGGAGGTCCAGGCCTAGACATTCAGGCTTTTATTCACTGCCACCACTGACAACTTTGTCTTCTATTCTTGTATGTTATTTTCCATACAGCCTTTCTGTACCGAGAATAAATGGCGAAGAAAGGAGAGTACACAAGAGATGGGCTATGTACAAAACTATAAGGAAAACTTAGTGACCTAATATAAAAAGGTAAAGTAAGAGACTGAAAAAAAAGGTCAAAGTATACAAAAAAAGGAAAGAAAGAAAGAGAAGGAAAGGCATGGAATTCAGGCACCAGATAGAATGTGGTATAGCCATATAGAAAGGCTAACTAGAAATCTGATAATAGAATTAAATGCCTGACAAAATTTATTCATTTCTGTGGGAAGTGCTTTAGAGGTTTGATTTCATGTGTGGCCAGCTTTAAAAACTGGGTTTTCAGTTGTACAATGTGAGTTGTACAACCTTGAGGGTTTCTTAAAAGCAGCTATCACCATGAGTATGTCTAGTATCAGGTTTGGACATCCTGTTTAACCTGCTCCAACATCAACCTGGAGAATAGTAAGAATAGTAAGCACCCCACAGGTTAAGTTTGACACCTGGGTGCCTGGGGATTTCAGGTTTCCTATTTATCTTCACTAGGAAGACAGTTCTTTAATCACAGGCCTGCCTGCTATGAAAGGCCAGAGATCTTTACTGGCTCTCCCCAAGAATCAAATCCAGAAAGGGTAATCATTTTCAAAACTGACTACTTGTACTTTAATCATAATTATCCTGACCAAAACCAGGTAGATTTTAAGACATAAGCCACAAGACTGAACAATTAAAAATTATTCTTCCTACCTCAGATTCCTTCCACAATAGGTTTAGGAACCCAAAATAAAAAAGGAGAGCTCCAAGACACAGCACTTATTACCAAAAAAATCTTCAGGTTCTCAAATGGTATCCAGCAAACCCTGAGAGAAAGCTGCAGTAAATTCTGTTCCCAAAGGTATTAACCTCTGTTATGCACTGCGATCCCAGTTAGGGTGGTTCCTGGCACAAAGGTCCCTGCAACTCTTTGACAACCGCCAAAATGGTCACACATAAATGCACTACACCCTTGTACTCAAGTTCCCACAAATATTTATTAGAAATGCAGAATCTCAGGCCCTACCTCACGTCGGCAGAATCAGAATCTGCATTTTAACAAGATCCTAGGAGATTTATACGCACCATGGGAAGCACACTACTACTTCTAGCTGTGCTTCATCACAGTGCTTCATCACAGCCATCGGGGGGCGTAACTGGAAGTTTCCGGTCTGCCCTACAATCCAAGAGTCCGAGGGGTCTTGGGGGGTCAGGGGCGGGCACCAGGCCAGCACCTTTGCTCAAACTGTTTTCCCTTTGTCTGGACCCAGCCCGAACCCCCGCTCCGTGAGCGTAAAATTCCAAAGGTGGTGTGTGTTGGGGCGAAGAGCCCGTCCCGCCACTGGTTGGCCACACAGTCCTCGCCCCACCAGCCCCGCCGAACTCTCACCTGCTCCTCCCGCGGAAGCGCCTTGAGAGGGCTCCGCGCCCCGTGTCGAAACACGACTTGCACCATTTTCAGCTCCAGCAGGCTTCGGTCGACGGAATTCTGGTCGTCAGCCCCCCGCCGCTGGTGGAGGCAGTACGCCAGCGAGGTCAGGACGCCGACAGGGGCCCACATGCGCACCCTGAAGATCCGGGAGATCATGGGGGAAACCCCTCGGCTCCTCTCCGGGGTGAGGGTGCAGAAAGCGAATACAAGTACTCCGCGATCGACGGGGCTCAGCAGCCGCCCCCAAGTTCCCGGGAACCGGTGGGCGAGCACATCCACCCGCCCAAGCTGCGACCGCTGCGACTCCCAGCTGTGTAAGGGGACCCCGAGTGGGAGCGTGGGGGAAGAAGCGGAGGTGGGAGCAGCGATGACTCCCCGGGAGTTTTAACCAGTGTCGGGGTTGGCCTCTCCCGCCGCAGACTGGGAGGGGGAGCGGGGAGCTCAGCTCCTTATCCTTCGTCCTCTAGGGAACCTTAAACTTGGATTCCAAGTTCGGCCTCCAGCACTCTTGACGGGACAGGAACCTGCCCAGAGTTCCTGAGCGGCAGTGACTCCATTAACACAGATCACTCGGCTCCACTTTTTTATAAGCAAGCTCCCACCCACTTTCTCACCCACCCGGGGACCTGCCCCAAGCGGACCCGCGCAGAGGAGCACGGGAAAACGAGTCCCGCGGTGACTCCTCTCCGGAGGCTTTGAGTTGCGAGAACTACAACTCCCACAATGCCGCGCGCCGCCGGCCCTCCCCGGGAGGTATTACCCCGCCCCCGGCAGTGGGCCTAGCCCCTCAGGCCGGCAGGTTGGAAGTCTCCAGGAGCTGGCGGTCAGCGTGTGTAGGAGTGAGTCTGCGAGTTTGCCAAGCTGATTGGGTAGGCGACGTGAAGGCAGGGGGAGATAGAATTGGGTAGTGGAGCCGATTTATTTTGAGTCTACTGAGTGTAGAAGACTTCCTTGAAGTCCTGGAAGTTGGGGTTCCTGAATTAAGAGCCAAGTACCGTTTGCGAAGGGCGGCACTAGGCGCTTTATATTTAATTTTCATTTGCTGTCTCCCTTCTATGTTTAGAGGCTTAAATCGTTGCAAACGTATAGAACTTCAAGCTCATTGATGTGTTTATTTACATCCAGAATATTTCCTGTGGAAAAATCCAGGCTCTGCGTGCAGATGTCCCAGTGACTAAGCACCTTAGCTAAGCCTCAACCACCTGCTGGTCTGGTTTCTCATGAATATACAGCGGCCCCAAACCACTATTCCAGATCTTTGCAACAGGGCACAATGAAACCATCTGTGTCTATCTCAAGGCAAAGGTCAAGTTGTGAGGAGAGTCTGAATATGTTACATTAAAAAAAAACAAATTCAACAGTCAATTTGAAGATCTAATTGGCTTTATTCAACTATTCATGAATTGGGCAGCATCCCATCTAGCAACTAGAAGAATGCTGGGAGTGGTTGTACAAAATAGAAGGCTTTTAATAGGCAGGAGGGTGGGGCAAGAAGGTATTAAAAAAAGAAAAGATGGGTTCCCTTTCTGGGAAGCCCCCCCTCCCCCCGCAAGGGTTTTATCATGCAGATTGCCTCTTCTGGGGGTGGGAATGGGGGTTGATGGAGAGGGACCATGTGACAGGTTACCTTACTGGTGCTTAACCAGAAAATTCCATACTGGTCCCTTAACATTACATTTCTGGGGGAGGCAGAAACTGCAATTAGACATGGGTACTAAACCTAGATAATAAATCTAGGTTTGGTATCATGGACTTTAGCACTAGTGATGCCACTTTGGGCCTGTGGTTTTCTTTTTTAACACCATCCAACCAATTCTTTTATCATTCTAGATTCTGTCATTGAATCAAACTGGGCAAGATGTGAGGGCACCATACTTATGGAGTATGGCTCCTGACCTGAGTCTAAACTAGTTCACTAACCTAGAAAATTCTGAATGTCCTACTGTCAGGAAGGGTCAGTTTGGAACACTGCACATTGTCACAGTTTTCCCCCTGGCCTAGCCCATGGACTGACTTCTCAGAGTCTTACTGTGTGTCCTGATACTATTAAAAACTGAAAGCTGTTTTTTCTAGCTGAAGTAAGGTATCAGGAGCACCAGACAACTCAGCTTCGGAACCTGTGTAATGAAGTGTAACCTCAGTGGGGAAAGCTGTTCTCAGCAGTTGAGTGAAAACGTGGTATAACTTTAGTGCAGAAGGGCCCTGGTGCTTGAGCAGCTTCAGCAGTCCTGGTTGTGCTAGCACATCAGAGCAGCTTCAAGGCAATGTAATGTTGGCCTCTGGATGCCATTCCCTTCTGCATAATGGACAGGCCACCCTAGTCCACACCCTTACCCTGGCAGCCTCAGCACAGACTTGTCAGGCATCACGAGCAGCACCTTTGACATGGATGAGCCTGTGCTGCTGGGGTGCCCGTGTGTAGTTGAGGAGCAGTGCTGTGGCTGTCTTAGCAACAGATCTCTGCAGGAAGCCAGAGCAAGTGAGGTTGGAAAATGACAGATTCCATGTGGCACTGTTTGTCAGCACATGGGAGACAACACTTGGGAAGCCCTGTAAATATTTGGTGTGTTATGTATGGTGGTGCTTGTAGTGTTAGTAAATTGCAGTTTAAAAGAAAGGGTAGAAATCCTGAAATCATGCTCTGGGGCTGCAGAGTGGCAAGGGTTGGGGGTGGTAGGCCGTGGGGGACTGAGCAACTGATATTGTGACCTTGGCTTTACCATCAGGCAGGTTTGGCTTGGGAAATAAACCCTCTTCCCACCAAATTGTCCTCAGAGGGTTAGCTTTAATATTATGCCAAAACTCGGTTTGAATTATGAGATAAGAAACAACCACATTCACTGTTTTATCTCCAGTAGTGAACACAGTGCCTGAGTCATAAGTACTCCATAAATACTTGCGGAATGAAATTATAGAATATATCGTAGGAATGTTGTTGAGGACATTGTTCATTACATCACTTATTGCTCCCTATATAAATCGCCTCTGGAGAAATTTGTTTTAGTGTTAGCATTAGAACAAACATTAAAACATATGAAGATTACTTTTCTTTCGTTTTTGCCTTGGCTGATAGGAAGCTTGGAGCTTAATTTTAAACTTAACCACAGCAAGTATTTAGAACCTAATAGCTAGTGTAACTGTGATCTTTTCCTCCAGGATATCACCCTGGATTGGAAGGGGGCAAAACTGGAGAAAGGCCAGGCTGTTGCAGGCTTCCAGGTGTGAAACCTTTAGGAGGCAGAGTTAACAATAGAGAGTGAGAGGGAGGAAGGCGTCAAGGATGACTTCTTAGTTCCTGGGTCGGGCAACTTGCAGAGGATGCCTTTTACCGGAAGGAGGTTGAGCAGAAATTAGCAAGTTAATTTTGAATATGTACATTATGAGGTTACCTGTGAGGCATTTAAGTACAAATGCCCTCTAGATTTCATGGATCTGGAACTCAGAATAAATTTGGAGTAGGAATATATAGGTGAAACTCCTCCACGCATAGTTATTAATTGAAACAATAGGAGTGGTTAAGATTCCCAGGGTGAGTGAGTCGAGTAGGAGAGAAACAGGGGGCTAGGACAGGACTCTTGAGTGTTACGGAGCAAGGGCTCTCTGTGCAACGCGCATAGAGGCCAATACTATGGCACTGGCTTTTGAGAAAAGAGCTTTATCTTGAGGTCGACTGATAAGGAGGCGGGAGGCAAGGCTCTCAAACCTGTCTCCTTGACCTATGGTCGGGGCAAAGTTTAAGGGGTTAGAGAAATTTCAAACCTGGATGGTGATTGGTTAGTCTTGAATTAGTCCATATGAGCTACTCATGCTGCTGGAAGCCAGGTTTTTCTTATTGAAGGACTTCTCACTTTGCAAAGGGCTCTGGTGGCAACATTTCCGGAGGCAAGTCAGGTTTGTGGGTTCAAGCCCCACCCTAAGGGGGCCCATATAAAAGGTTACAGCTGCTGACGTACTCAAAGGATTAGAGTCCCAAACCCTGGGTTAGAGCCTGCGGTCTTTGGATTTCTCTGCTTGTCTGTGTTTGTCCGTGACTGTTTTATTTGTGAGGAATTGGCCAATAGGGTTAACTATTGGATGACTGCAGCAAGGCTTTACTGAATCTGCTTCCTGTCATTTTGCTCTGGTTATCCTGAGGAGAAAACACTTCCAAAATGGGGAATGTTAACAGTACCCCTGCTAATTTAACAGGCAGGGGGGGGAAAAGAAAAAAAAAACATGATCATATCAATCAGTCTAAGGAATAGAGTAAGCACAGTAAAAGTAATTAGGAAATATAAGGAGTAAAATCAGTGAAATGGGAGCTAGGAGAAATCATCAATTTCCAAATGGGAGGTCAGCATGGATTAAAAAGCAAAGCTTTGTGTCTTTAGAGTGATTTGAGGAAAGACAGATTAAAGAGAAAAAAAACAGGTGGGGCAATGTTATTAGACAAATAGATATTTTAGGAAGGTTGAGATTGTTAAGGTAGTAACAGGACAGTGATTTTACAATATATAATTACTTGCAGTTTAAATAAGAAATACAGTAGTCAAACTTGGCCTACATTTAGCCAACTGTAAAATAAAGCAAAAAATCTTCCAAAACACAAGCAAAACTTGACAAGAACATTTTTGAGAAAATAGCTCTTAAATACATCTAGAGAATGGCCTGAGAAGATTGAAGTATTTTGAAGATGGAGATAATGTTTCTAATGCAGATAATAACCAGAGTCATCTGGGTATAGATCTCTATCAGTAAGTTTGTGCTTTGTTCTGTTTGTACTTGTCCTTTCTGATAACAAGATGGTTCTTTTAGTGATGTGATTTTATTCTGTAATCTTTAATGTATTATGTTCTTGGTGTTCTATTTGAGTTCCTACTATATATGGTATACTGGAGTTATGAAAAAGAAGAAAATGATTTTCGTTTGTACCACTGCCTGGCCCAGTATTAACTGGGGTCAGGGGAAAATGGCGCAAGAATGGGTCTTCTAATTGTAGGACTATTTTACAATTAGACTTGGTTTGCAAAAGAGAGGAGAAATGGGACAAAATCAGCTTTATCCCTGTTTCTTACAAGGGAGGAGCCTTTTACAGTTAGACACATTTTAGTTTGTCTTCATTGAGAATTTTAACCCTCTTTTGTATGAGCCAAGCTATCAAGGAGCTAGCATTGAACTGCTTTTAAGTGTGTGTGTATGTGTGTGTGCGTGTATCACACACACACACATACTATTTTGAGCAATATAGTGAAGGAAATCTGGTCAGCCAGCTACAAAACTCAGACTTCAGGAAGGGCTTGTTTTTCTTCAGAGAAGGAACTCCCAGATGGAGAACATTGGCTGTCCTACCATCAGCTCTGCCTTGCACTGTGGTTACCAACTTTCTTCAGTTCAGGAGTAGGCAAGCACAGGTAGTGGGCTCACGACGTCTGACCTCGACTACTTTTTCTAAGTTATTTTGTTCAGCAGTTAAAACTGCTGAACAGTTCTCAGCAGCGAAACCTGAGTCTCTATATCAGAATAAGAATTTGCAGAAGATATGTAAAGTTATGGTTCAGAGGAAGGCCCTCAGAAAAAACCTGTTTTCCCTGAGTCAGAGCCAGTGATGATCTCAACTACATTTGTCTCCTCCTTTGGTGCCTCCCGCCCTTCCCCCGCCTTATGAAGGGGGAAATCCCTCCGAGTGGTGCCAAGGCTTCCATCAGCAATCCTCCTAGAGCCCCAGGTCTGGCCCCAGCCCTGTAGCCTTCCTTACCAGATAGTCAACAGGGTCTCCCCTCCCCATACCTGCGAGGGTACTCAGTTTGACCCAGGGGGTACTCTGCTTCAGGCAGGGCAATATCCATGGAGACAAGTTCCCACAGGTCTAAATGACCAAGGTCAACCCAGGGGATCTGTATATGTGCCCTCCTCCTTTTCTATCTCTGATCTGTATAATTGGAAAAAAGCATATTTAAAGCACAGCTTTCCATATGTGCCTGAATGCCCTACTCCCTTGTTGAGGCAAGGTCTACTGACAAAATTAAATGACTTTCTCAGCAGAAAAAACAAGCGTGCACCCTCCAAGCTGCACTATTACAACTGGGAGACGAGCCTCAACCAGAAGTCCCTGAAGAAATTCTACAAAAGGTAAGAGCATATGTTTGGGCTGACCCAATAGTAGCAGAACTCTGTCCAGGCACCAAGACTCTAAATTTAAAGCAGTGCCCTTTAAAGAGGTATGCAAAAGAAGGTATAAAGCCTCTGCTAACCACCTGTCTTAAATCCCAATTAATCTGACCTTGTCATTCCCCATATAACACTCCAATCCTGCCGGTATGAAAACCTGGGACAAAAGATTATCATTTTGTGCAGGATTTGGGAGCCATTAACCAAATTGTAGAGGATACATTCAGTGTGCCAAATCCTTATGCAGCTTTATCTGGAGACTTTTGCTGGTTTACAAACAATTCTGGATGTAAAAGATGCCTTTTATTGCATATCCCTAAGTCCTGAGTCCCAGGAACTGTTTGCCTCTGAACGGGATGATCCAGAGACTAATATAAGACAACAATATTGTTGGATGGCACTCCCGCAAGGATTTAAGAATGCTCCCACCATCTTCAAGGAAGCCTTAGCCAAGGATTTAAGGGACCTCCAATTAAATGAGGGAATGTTACTTCAATATGTGGATGCTAGTAAAACTAAGGAAGCTTCAGACCAAAATACAATCCTCACTTAAAATTTTTGGCAGACCAGGGATATAAAGTCCAAGGGAAAAGTGCAAATTTCTTAACCAACTGTAAAATATCTAGGATTTGAGTTATCAAAAGGACAAAGAAACTGACTGCCGGATCGAAGGGAAGCATTAGCTAGGGTGCTTGTACCCACCACCAGAAGGCAATTGCAAGGATTCTTAGGAATGGCTGGGTTTTGTCATATTTGGATTCCTAACTTTGGACACATGGCCAAACTCCTATATGAGGCTCTTAGAGGAAATGACAATGAACCATTAAGCTGCACTCTGGAATGCCATAAGGCATTCCATACCATAAAAAAATTGAAGAAGTCTATTCTAGCAGACCTGACCTGACTGATCAGCCTTTAGAAAAGCCAGACATGGAAATGTTTATGGATGGGAGCAACTTCATGGACTGGGGACTTCGAAAGGCTGGATATGCAATAGTAACTCATCAGGAAGTCCCAGAAGCAGAAGCCCTCCTCCAGGTACCTCTGCCCAAAAGGCAGAGCTCATAGCCCTCATGAGAGCCCTGCACCTTGGAGCTAAGGAAAAGGCAACCGTTTATTTATTTATTTTTAATAGTGTTTTTGCTTTTTTTTTTTTTTTTTTGGCCATGCCATGTTGCATGTGGGATCTTAGTTCCCTGACCAGGGATTGAACCCATGCCCCCTGCAGTGGAAGCACAGAGTCTTAACCACTGGAACACAAGGGAAGTCCCCAAGGTTACCATTTATACTGATTCTAAGTATGCCTTCTCTGTAGTGCATGCCCATGGGGCCATATGGAAAGAGAGGTCTACTAATATCAGGAAGAAAAGAAACACGGAGAGGAGATACTGGCCATATTAGACTCTGTTATAATGCTGAAAGAAGTAGCCATAGTACATTGCCTGGGCCACCAAAAGACTGATAGTTATATAGCTAAAGGAAATAATTTGGCTGATCGGGCTCTAAAACAGGCAGTCAGAAATGGAAATGGATCTAGAGAGAGCAGACGAATGGGGATTTCACGATGACTCTCGGAAGACTTAGATGGTATTCGGTACCAAACAACCAAATAAGGCTGGATTTATAATGAACAGGGACTAGTGCTTACACCTGAGCATTTAATGGAAAGAATTATTACTCATCTACATCAAGGAGCCCATTATGGGAGGGATGCAACCTATCATTGGCTACAAAGGTTTATTGTTGGTTCGCAAATTCAAAGGCCCATCCAAAAAGTAATAAAAAATTGCCTGATCTGCATCAGAAACAATCCTAAAACCAGGCCACGCCTGATAATGAAAGGGGTGCAAACCTGAGGGACAAAAGCAGGAGATGATTGGTAAGTAGACTTTACTGTTACGCCAAGAACCATGGGTAATAATAGACATCTGCTCGTATTTGTGGACACCTTCACAGGATGGGTCGAAGCATTTCTATGCTGAACAGAGAAAGCTTCTGAGGTAACAGAGGCCTACTAAGAGAAATCATCCCTCCTTTTGGGCTGCCTCTTTCTATTCAAAGTGGCGGTGGAGGAGATTTCATAGCCAAGATAACTCAAGGGGTGTCTCAGACCCTCGGAATATAGTGAAAGTTACATGCTTCATGGAGATCTCAGTCTACGGGAAAGACTGAAAAGAGGAATCCTACCTTAGAAGAGACAATCACCAAAATATGTCAAGAAACCAACTTAACTTGGGATAAGGTCTTACCAGTTGCCCTGCTTAGGGTAAAAGTAGCCCCTAGAGGCAAGCTCCAAATGAGCCCTTGTGAAATGTTATATGGGAAACCCTTCCTTAACACAAAGTATTACTGCAGTTTTGAAAATGATCATGTAGCATGAGTAGCTCATATTGCAGAAGAATTAGATACTATAACATGTTTTCATGGATTCCCAAAGGAGTAAGGTCTGTTTTTGAAGGACTGTTAAAGTTAGGAGTCATAGTTCTGTGTATCTTAGGGTTAATCCTTTCACTCATCAGATTTTGTACTTACTGTCTATCATGTATATTTAAAAAGGCCTCCTCCACTCACATGATCATTGCTCAAGACAAGAGTTCAAGCTAGAATTTGCAAATATTTATAATTAAATGCAAAACAATTTCCTTCCTGTTATAAAAATTCACACCCCCAATCAGCAGGAACAGCTAGAATGGTCATTGCCCTATTTGCCTCAAGACTGAGAAACGGGGCTTCCCTGGTGGCGCAGTGGTTGAGAGTCCGCCTGCCGATGCAGGGGACACGGGTTCGTGCCCCGGTCTGGGAAGATCCCACATGCCGCGGAGCGGCTGGGCCCGTGAGCCATGGCCGCTGAGCCTGTTGGTCCGGAGCCTGTGCTCCACAACGGGAGAGGCCACAACAGTGAGAGGCCCGCGTTCCAAAAAAAAAAAAAGACTGAGGAATGTACAAAGAAAAAGGGGAGAATTGAAATAGTACGTAAAACATCAACCAGCTTCAACTGTTTTTGTCTCTTTAAATAGGTTGTTGATTAATCAAACTGAAATAGCACCGGCTTAAACTGGTTAAACTTCCTTAAAACAGGTTGTTGATTAATCAAAGCTGGAGTTATTTTACGGAGATAGCACTGTGCATGTGCAAGACAGGAACCTGTGTCTCCAGGATGACCTTGGAACCAAGAATCTTCAGTCTACAGAACTCAAAGAATAGAAATCTTGCCACCAGAGCCCTTTACAAAGTGAGAAGTTCTTCAATAAGGAAAAGCTGACTTCCAGCAGCATGAGTAGCTCATATGGACTAATTCAAAACAAACCAATCAATCACCATCCAGGTTTGAAATTCCACTAACCCCTTAAATTTCACCCCAGACTCTGGCTTGAGGAGACAGGTTTGAAAACCTTGCCTCCTGTCTCTTTGTCAGTCGACCTCGTGATAAAGCTCTTTCTTTTCTCAAAAATCAGTGCCATAGTACTGGCTTCTATGCACATCAGGCAGCGAGCCCTTGCTCAGTAATGTAGGGAACACCACCATTTAAGCGAGGGGCAGAGAAAGAGAGGCCTGAGAAGGAGAATGATAAGGAGTGGCAGAGATAGAAAAGACTTAGGTATCAAGGAAGCCAAGAGAAGAAAGGTTCGAAGAAGAAGGGAATGGACAGCAGTGTCAAATGGAACTGAGAAGTCAAGTGATGGACGGACCAAGTGTCTCCTGGATTTGACAAAATATTCTTTGGTCACGAAAGTGAGAGCGGTTTCAATGAAATAGTGGGGTGAAAATTAAATAGAAGTGGGTAGTGAGTGGGAAGTAAGTGTAGACATCTTCAAGAAGTTTAGCTGGGAAGAGGAGGTGAACAAATACAGTATCGGGAGGTGTTTGATTCAGGAAGTTAAGGGAGAACTGTCTTTTGAAGATAGGATAAGTTTCTATGTATGTTTAAATGTTGATAGAAAGAAGGCTATAGATAGGGAGAGGCTGAAAATACAAGAGACAGGATAATCGAGTGAAGTGCTTAAGAGGGTAGGAAAAGATGAGAAATAAATGTAAAAGTCATTAGCCTCAGAAGGAGAAGGTACGTATTGTCAATGTTGACAGGTGGGAAAGAAGAAAGAACAGGCATACGTGGAGTTACATTTATAGTGTGGGAATTAGAGGGGTTTACGGGGGGATAGTTTCTTTTTTTCTGCAGAATCAGTGGGGTGGGGGGTTAGGTTTGGCACTTCTTGAAGATTTGAGGAACATGGGAAAGTGAAGTATCCACAGCATACATGGGAGAGAGGGTGATGGCGAGGTAACCAGAGGCTTAGCTGGTCCCCAGGTGATTCTGTTATAGGAGTTCTTCAGATCACACTTCGAGAACTACTGATAGGAGGGGATTATTTTATTCTGGGAGAGTTTTTTACAAAATGGGAGAAAATTGCCCACTGCGAGGGCAGGGGGGACAATTAACACAAAAAGGTATCATTGATGGGGCAAAATCGCTAAGGAAATGGGAGCTGTGATAAAGAAGAAAGGAGGAAGGATCAGTCTTGGACAGGAGGTGTGTCACCTCTCCAACTAAGATCAGCCTTAGGCGGAGAGAGCCTGAAATCCTCTTTCATTAAGGGTCACCTCTTTCCATTAAGATGGGAAAGGAGGTAAAGATAAACATGGAGGCAGGTAACATTGGTAGTTTCACTTCCAACAAAATTTTTCCCCAGTGATAATCTCCAGCAAGCTTGGAAAAGAGAAACTATCAATAACATTATAAGTGATAATCTCCAGCAAGCTTGGAAAAGAGAAACAATCAATAACATTATACCTAGCGTTATGCTAAATCTTTCTCATGCAGTGTGTCATTTAATCCTTCTAGTAACTTAAGTGGAAGGTCCTATCACCATTTCATAGAGAAAGAAACTGAGGTTAGAGAACAGAAGCTAAGTAACTTGTCCAAGGATGCCCAGATCTTAAGGGCAGAGTCTAGGTAGTCTGAATGTGGACCCATGTCTGTCTGACATCTGAGCCTACACTATGAGCCACAGATATTATACTGCTCAACTCATTGGGGAAGGGGTAGTAATTTGTGTGACATTTTGCATGGATGATACCATGCAACATGGTAGCATGGGAGATTGAAACTGTTTTTCCTTCATGACTTCTCACCCGTAAGTCTTTCTTCCTACCATCACCTCAGTCCTGATTGATGGCTTTTTTTTTTTCCTGAATATCATTTAGAACTTTGTTGCAAATGGCAGAAAACTGACTCAAGCTGGCTTAATATGAAAAAAGAAAAAGAATTAATTAGCCCATGTAATTGAAAACTTCAGAAGGCTTAGCTGGGTAAAAGCTCAGATAATAATGGTTTCTGGTTCTTTTGAAGCCTCCAGCTCCATCTCTCACTTTTTTGCCTTTTCTGTGAAACTTTATCTGGTGCCTCCTAGCTCCTCCCTGGGTCACACAATGGCTATAGCAGTTCTATCTCTTTACCACTCAGTATATCTAGAAACAAAGATTTCCCCCCATATAAACAAGTCCTGGGCCTCGGTCATTTGCAAGATGAGACGTGTTTTTTAAGTTATAAGAAATTATTTCCAACCATCTCTGGAGTTGAAGGGCAAGTCAAACCCACCCACATGAGCAAAAAGGGTACAGGTAGTTCTTCAAAGGAGACTCGGAATTGTTTTTACCAGAAAAGGGTGACTGGATGATGAGGGGGAAACAACAGATGTTTTCATGCCTCTCTCCCAGCTTTCTTCCCCTCATTAATCACCTTCCTATGTGATTGTCAGTGACTCAAGCTGAAGTTGCTGACCTTTTGGCAGAAGAAGGTGGGCTTAATACTCTCTACAAGTCTTACCGGTCACATCTGTGTCTATACATCTTTGTCATCTCCTTGTTTAAATGTCTCTATTGGCTCCACATTGCCCACGGAAGAATGATTTACAATATCAGTGTTTAATGGTCCACCACTCTGGTCTTCCATGCTGTTTTAAAGTCCTGGAATACTGGCATTTCTGTTGGTGTGATACGATTATTTTGGAGTTTAAAAAATCTGAATCATTTATGTCTTGATACACAGAGACATGCTTCATTAAAATCTTGAATCAGATATAAGTGCACTTGTTTAGAAAGCCATCTTCTATACTTCCATAATCCTTAAACAAAAGAAGAAAATAACAACCACCAAAGCAAAGCTTCTAATGCAAGAGTAGTTCTTATCTATTACAAAGATTTCCACCAAATGGAATAGGAACAGAACGCTATTGGTATTAATATGGTGTCCACATTAGAATCTCCATTTATGTAAGATGAGACAGGAAGATGAAGACAAGTGAGAAATACTTCCTTTGAAGCAAACAAACAAAAACAGCTTGTTACAAACAAATATTGTCCCTGCAAAGAAAGAAAATATTGCCTCCCCCCAAAAAAATCTCCTCAAACTTATTAACGAAGAGATAGGGTTGTTTGAAGATAAGGGACTAGAGAAAATACTGATGTTTAAGAACGTCTTATAACTATCTCCTTATCATTCCCTTAACCAGCATACATTCAGAATTTTTTAGCAACTGGAGAGTTTTTCACAGCTTGATGATATCGTTGATAGACTAATATCACTTTAAAAACAATTGTAATTTTACTTCATTTTAAACCCTAATTAAACTATTTTATGTAGAATTTCCTTTAAGCAATATTTTATTTTTATATTAAAGTGATATGGTTAATATATTTCAGTATATTTGCATTTATGCTTATGAATTTTTATATTTGAAATGTAATAAATACTTAGTTTTACTGATCTCGGGTACTTAATATGTGAAATAAGTACCAAAACCTCCTGAAATTCTATCCAGTATTTAAATGACTGTTTAGCTTGGCGCTGGAGGTCCTTCCTGTCAGCCCCTTGTCTACAGTCCCAGCCGCCCTCCTGCATCCCCATCCCGGGGATGGATATGTTTATCTGTGTTTCCTTTTCCAAGTAGAGCTTGGATCCAGTCACCTCTATTCCTTTGCTGGAGGCCCCTTCTTCAATTTTTACCTGTAAAGGTCACATGGGACGAGCACAACTGGTAGAATGGAATCTTAAAGCAAATTCATTTTTGTCTCCCACTATCTTTTTAAGTCTGCACCAAGGGGCTATTTCTCTCTTACATTTAGAAAAGACAAAGGTTGTCCCTCAGAGGTAATAACAGTGCTGTCACTTTTTAGGGCACAAAATGTCAACCAGGCATTTAAATGGGAGTCCGAGATGAGAATTGTTGTAACTTCAACTTACAGTTGAAGTTTGTCCTCTCCTCCAGCTTCAGCTGGCTGCAGGCTAGAAGTCTGAAATTTGAAGATCGGGGGAGAGGGGCTCTTGGCTTCTCTCTTTCCTCCTCTCATGCTCCTTCTTCTCTTCTCCCATCTTACAAACTTGTTTTTGGCCCTTTCAGGGTCTGGAGCCTGGGGAGGGGAATTCGTGGATTCATAGAATTCTTGGTTGATTGATGCTGTGGAAGTGATCTAGCTGGTGCTCTCTGGACCTTGAAGATCTTTGAAGCCAATTTCCCTCTTGAGGGACTTTCATGGGTTCCTCAGAGACCTTCCCTTTCCCCACTTCTGCAGCATCTACACGTCCAGCAGCAGTTCATTTCCAGCTTTCACCCCCGCAGGAGGCCATTTCGACCAGGGGCTAAGCATAACCATGTCAATTCCCTTTCCCTCGGGGATCTCATTTGGTCCATAGGAGACACCATTCACCCAAACAGACTCTGGGAGTGTAGCTACTTCCCCACACCTCAGCCCTCGACATTTTGATTTCTCCAGTGTGATCCAGTCAGCAGACCTGTGTCCCTCAAACTGTAGGAGACACACATTAAGCTCCGCAGATGGTTCCCTCAAAGTCCTGTCCTTTGGTTTGAGATAAGGAGCGGATATCCCTTCTCCTCCTCATTCACCCTTAGTGAGGAGGGTAGAATTCTTCATACACAGTAGTTCTTTCCAAAGAAATCCATTTCAAAAAGCTTCCTATCAGCATCCCTTTATGCCGTCAATGTGGGTGACCATTTGAGAGTTACATGCCTCTCCCTTCTCCCCTTTTTACCATCTATGTTTTGGTCCAACACATAGCTCTGGAATGTGCCTCAACTGAAGCTTTTATTTTAACATCTTGCTACATCCCTAAAGATCACTTTCATGCCTCTACCTCCACAAAATCTTACTGATCAGCCCCAAGGTAGTAATTTTCTACTTTGCCAAACTCTTAGGTGTGGATCATTATGCCATTCACATGGTACTTATTTTCTGCCTTGTATTGTACTTACTTAAGTACAATTATTTCCACCAAAAATTTGTAAGTTCCTCTAAGGTAGACACTATGCATCTTTGTTTTTATATCACTAAAGTCTTACACACAGTATGTAAATAATATTTGTTATATCCAAGAAATAGATTGCTCAATATTGCTGTGTATGGTAAAGTCTTGGAAAGTAGATAATCTTTCCAATTCAACCTCTATCTACCGTCCTGAGTTTTAAGCACTGTGGCCAGTTGAGGATACAGGCACAGACAAGACAAAGTCCTGTCTAGAAGCACTCAGAATCAGCAGAAGAGATGGTACATTACAAAAAGTTACATAAGTCTACAATAAAGGTGTGATCTAAAGGTTGTGCATAGGAGGGAGTGGTTAACTAACCAGGATGCTCAGGGAAGTCTTCATGAAGTTGGAACTACTTGAATTTTTTTAAAAATTGAGCTATAATTTACTTATCATGAAGTTCATGCTTTTAAAGTATACAATTCAGTGATTTCTAGTATGTTCACAAGGTTGTGCAACCATCACCACCTTGTAATTCCAAAACATTCATCACCCTCAAAAGAAACCTCATGGGCTTCCCTGGTGGTGCAGTGGTTGAGGGTCCGCCTGCCGATGCAGGGGACGTGGGTTCGTGCCCCGGTTCGGGAGGATCCGGCATGCCGCGGGGCGGCTGGGCCCGTGGGCCATGGCCGCTGGGCCTGTGCGTCCGGAGCCTGTGCTCCGCAACGGGAGAGGCCGCGGCAGTGGGAGGCCCGCGTACCACAAAAAAAAAAAAAAAAAGAAGAAACCTCATACTCCTGAGCAGTCTTTCTCCATTCCCCCTCCGCCAGCCCCTGGCAACCACTTATCTACTTTCTGTCTTTATGGATTTGCCATTTCTAGACATTTCATATAAATGGAGTCATACAATATGTGGTCTTCAGCGTCTGGCTTATTTCTCCTAGCATAATGTCTTCAAGGTTAATCCATGTTGTAGCACATATCAGAATTTCCTTCCTTTTTAAGGTTGAATAATATTCCACTGTATGTATATACCGCTTCATCCATTGATAGACATTTGTGTTATTTCCATTTTGGGGGCTATTGTGAACAGTACTGCTATGAACATGGGTGTGCAAATATCTATCTGAATCCCTTCTTTCAGTTCTTTTGGGGAGACATCCAGAAGTGAATTGCTAAATCATATGGTAATTCTGTATTTAATATTTTGAGAAATCACCATAATATTTCCCATCGCAGCTGCACAATTTTACATTCCCACCAGGAATGCAGAAGAGTAGCAATTCCTCCAAATCCTTGTCAACACTTATTTTCTGTTTTCTTTTTGTTTTTTTATAATAGCCATCCTAATGAGGTGAAGAGGAATCTCACTGTGGTTTGGGTTTGCATTTCCCCAATGATGGCGATTATCTTTTCATATGCTTGTTGGCCATTTGTATATCTTCTTTGGAGAAATTTGTATTTAAGTCAAAAGGCTCACTTTGTTTTTTCTTTTGTTTTTTTTTAACTTTTATTGAGGTACAGTTGTTTTACAATGTTGTGTTAGTTTCTGCTGTACAGCGAAGTGAATCAACTGTATGTATACATACATCCCCTCTTTTTTGGATTTCCTTCGCATTTAGGTCACCACAGAGCACTAACTAGAGTTCCCTGTGCTATACAGCACGTTCTCATTAGCTATCTATTTTATACATATTAGTGTATATACGTCAATCCCAATCTCCCAATTCATTCCACTTTTCCCTCCTTTGGTATCGATACATTTGTTCTCTAGATCTGTGTCTCTATTTCAGCCTTGCAAACAGGTTCATCTATAACATTTTTCTAGATTCCACATATATGTGTTTATATATGATATTTGTTTTTTCTTTTTTTAATTTTTTAATTTTATTTTTTTTTATACAGCAGGTTCTTATTAGTCATCAATTTTATACACATCAGTGTATACATGTCAATCCCTATCGCCCAATTCATCACACCACCATCACCACACCCCCGCGGCTTTCTCCCCCTTGGTGTCCATGCGTTTGTTCTCTACATCTGTGTCTCAACTTCTGCCCTGCAAACCGGTTCATCTGTACCATTTTTCTAGGTTCCACATACATGCGTTAATATACAATATTTGTTTTTCTCTTTCTGACTTACTTCCCTCTGTATGACAGTCTCTAGATCCATCCACGTCTCAACAAATGACCCAATTTCATTCCTTTTTATGGCTGAGTAATATTCCATTGTATATATGTGCCACATCTTCTTTATCCATTCGTCTGTCAGTGGGCATTTAGGTTGCTTCCATGACCTGGCTATTGTAAATAGTGCTGCAATGAACATTGGGGTTCATGTGTCTTTTTGAGTTATGGTTTTCTCTGGGTATATGCCCAGTAGTGGGATTGCTGGATCATATGGTAATTCTATTTTTAGTTTTTTAAGGAACCTCCATACTGTTCTCCATAGTGGCTGTATCAATTTACATTCCCACCAACAGTGCAGGAGGGTTCTCTTTTCTCCACACCCTCTCCAGCATTTGTTGTTTGTAGATTTTCTGATGATGCCCATTCTAACTGGTGTGAGGTGATACCTCATTGTAGTTTTGATTTGCG